CTCATGAACTTATCCGCGAGCTTGAGGAATTCGGCCACGGTTGCGGGCTGGTTAGCTACCATGTGCCACTTGAACTCTTTGTGCGTTACTCCTCTCTTGGCCACCGCGGGGTCTAACCGCGGTATCTGCAAGCACGCTTCATTGAACCGCTTAATGTAGCCCTGGATGGATTCTCATTCTCTCTGGACTACTTCGAAGATGCTTTCCTCTGTTTTGGGGCACCGCTTGCTGGTGACAAAGTGTGCGGTGAAGACCTGCACGAACTGGGCCCAGCATCTTATCGACCCAGGGGCCAGGTTCCTGTACCAAGTGCGGGCTACCCCCCTGAAGGTGGTGGTGAAGGCCACGCACATGCACGATTCACTGGCCCTGGCGAGGTGCATTTGGRACTGGAAAGCATCAACGTGGTCGTTGGGGTCGAAGGACCCGTCATACTTGTCCAAAGGTGGGAGCTTGAAATCTCTAGGCATGGGGACCGCCAGGAGTTCTGATGCAAGGGGGGAAGGAACTGAGAGAATCGGGGCAGTTTTTACCTCGTCCAAGCTCATCTCTTCCTTACCTCTGAGCTCGGGCAGGACACGGGTGGCAGTTCGGCGACTTCGCCGGCGCCTTCGTTGTTGAGTGGGCCCGGTATTGGCGTTGCTGGCCTCTGTGTTGCCAAGCTCGATGGCCCCGGAATGCTGGTAGTCTACTGCCAGGGCGCTGAATCGGTTCTCCGTGAGCGAGAACTCGGGCCTGGAGCGCCGAGGTGCTGACCTTGCGGGCGAGGTTCCTGACCCGCCTGCGAGCTGCGAGGCGGGGGTGATTTTTCTCTCTCTTCGGCCTGGGAACRAGGCCTGGCTGTTAGGGGGGTTCTAGGGCTGGAAGGCTTTTCCCTGGTGGGGGCGTCCATCCTGTGGGGAGGCCTTAACCGGCTTTGGAGCAGGGTGCCGAGGTGGAAGTAGTGGTTGGTTCAGAGGCAGTTGGGGGAACTGCTGTTGATAGTGATACTAGGAGATGTTGTGCAGTACTTGGTGCTGCTGGAGCTGGTGTTGCTGGAATTGTTGCATTTGGGCTTGCATTGCTCGCATGCATTACATCAGGTCGTCCAACTGGTTCTGGCTGGTTGCTAGGGGGACGACAGTTGGTTCAGCAAAGGTTGTCTCGATAGGGAGAGGAAAGGCGATGCTCATGGCAGGAAGGTTTACAGGCGCCACTGCTTGTGGCGCATTCAAGCTGGGATCCCATCCACCGAAAGGGGGATGGTGAACTGTCCGACGCACACCACGGGGACTTGAAGTTGTTCCCCGGTGGTGTTTGTCTCCATGCCACGTCCGGCGTTGCTGGAAGAAGCCATGAGTGTTGGGGTTTTTGGAGAAAAGAGGTTATGAGAATTTAGAGGGAGGCTTTTAGAAGCGATTTCCCACAGACGGCACCAATTGATGGTGCACAATCCGGCTAGTCCTAGCTGTAAACGACCTTGCCTCTGAACGGAGCTACAGGGAGCCTGAAACAGAGAAGATGAGGAAGCTCCGGGGGGAACCCGGTATGAATGCTCCGAAGCTCAAGTTAGAATTCTTAGGCAAGATAAAACCAGGTGGCGCAAAGTTCACGTACCTTGTTCTTGGGGAGTAGGGAGCCTTTTATAACCACCTCGTGCACTCACTCCTAAGCTTCTGTCAGGTCGGGTATGATTACCTCTAGGCTCCTGCCAGTTTGGGTGTCATCCCCTCTGCTGGACAGAACCGCCACTGCTCCCTTTTGTCGGAGCCGTCTCTGCGACTGGCGATGACGGTGGCAGGTGGTGGTGGCAGGTGACCGTTGAAGTGCAGCTGTCAAGCGTCAGATCCCAAGTCAGTCAGGTGCGCCGCCCTTGGATACGGACCTCCTCGGTGTCAGGTATGGTACATTTGTTCAGTTCGGCGTCCTGGAGGCGAAGTGCTGGAGTGGCGAGCGAGGTGAAGTCTTGAGTTTGGATAGGGGAGTGTCCCGAACTGCCATAAGGCGGGCCAGTTCGGGTCATTGCCTTGTGTGGCTCGGGGCCTAAGGGAGAGTTCGGGCTCCTCGTAGGGAGTTTCGGGCTCCTCGTAGGGAGTTCGGGCTCCTCGTAGGGAGTTCGGGCTCTTAGTAGGGAGATCGGGCTCCTCGTAGGGTGTTCAGGCTCCTAGTAGGGAGTTCGGGCTCCTTGTTCGGATTGCTGGTGGGGAGTTCGGGCTCCTTGTGGGGAGTTTGAACTGCTGGTTTCTTCCCTTTGGTGCTTGCGCCCTGGGCACACTGTTGTGCCAAGCTGTTTGCCTTTGCCACGTGTTGAGTGATTACGAGGTCGGACCAAATCTTCCTTCATCAGGTATCAAGAAGCTAGCTAAGTTTTAGTTTTGATTTCTCTTTTCTTCTTTCTCCTCACCGTCCCTACACAACACCAAGTTGTGAACCGCCCTTGGAACCACCACTATGTGGGGGCGGTTTGGTGTTTTATTCCAACGAAAACATGAAATTAATCCAGCTCTCTTTTTACCCCGAGAACATGAAATTAATCCAATAGTATTCCAACTGTGATTGTGACGGGGTGTTGTATTGGCGGTGGAGATTCAGGGTGTGTGGGGGTGATTCAGTGCTGTATAGGGACGGTGATGAGGAAGGAGAAGAATAGAGAGAGATGAATAATGGGTTTGGTGTTGTGCAGGGATGGTCATGTCTTCTCCACCATCCCCGTTGTCAGTAACAACTCTCCTCTTGGCTTTTGCTTAGATGGTTTTGATCAAGGTTCATGTCAAAAACACAAACAAAATGTAAGACATGAAACATAAGTACTTTAGACGGTGGAGCTTAGGGTTAAAGATGTCAACACAAGAGGAAAGAGCGTAACATACCAAGAAGGGTATTATTTCAGTAAAAATAGATGCAAATAAATTTGTAAAAGGGTAAAATAGGTATTTGACAAAAACTATTAATCGATTTAAGGTTTTATGTCATGGTCATTGACAGAAGGGAGGTTTTTGTCGAATTATTTAAATATCTAGGGGAGGTTTTTGTTAAAGTGAAACTATAGGGGAGGTTTCTATGATTGTCAGAAACTTTAGGGGAGGTTTTTGTATTTTACCCTAATATCTAATTTAAATTTTTTATTAAATTTAAATAATTAAATTAGATTTTATTTATAATTAAAAACCTTTATTATTGTTGTTTGACAACATGGTGTCATTAGATGCCATTAAGCACCACATTAATATTTATTAAGTTCCCAACTCACTTTTCCTACCCACTCTCTACCCTCCTAGCCATAAATTTTCATATATTAGATGAGTTCAAATCAACCCCCCACAATGCCCACAGCACATCCCAGGATGACATTTAGGCCTAGTTTGTTTGTAGTTTCAATAAATATTAGAGTGTGCATTAAAGGAGTGCAATTTTTTGTTTGATATTAGAGATTTTTATTTGCAATAAAATTTGAAGCAAACTAAAATAAAAGCTGAAGGCTGCATTGCATTTGGAATCGGTGTAAATTAAGAATTTATACGGGTTCGATTTTGTTGACGTTTGGAAGGAGTAAAAATGAATATCCGTGTAAAACTCCACTCAGGTTAAGATTTATTGGCGTTTGGATGGAATGAAGTTTTAGGGTGTAAATACTACATCCATTTTATCGATGTACAATTTCACACTTTTTTATCACAGTTTTCAAAATGTAAGTCAACTTTTTTACACCGACGACTTTTTACAACGGGAGAACCGGAGAATAAACCAAATTCCTGGAGAGATGAGATGGCCATCACATTCACACGTCCCCACGTTTCCCCATTAATACAATAACAATTGGACTGCATAGAAGTAGAAGGAAGGATGTCCCGAGTCCGCAAGTGTCGGAGGAAGAACCCCAACTTGGCCGGCCTACAACTGACTGCGGAGGCCGACCACATAGTTCGATCAACCGTTCGAATTAAAAGGTTGGATGTTTTGACGGAGTCGTACGTCCAAGTATCCGTTACAGCCAATCAGCGACGGACCGACGTTCATTCCTTTCTATCAAGTCAAACGATCGAATTTACAGCTTCACACACCTCTGTATGTAATGATAGAAAAAAAAAATGTAAAATTAGAAGCCAATCTGCTGTGTTCTCGCCGCTTTGTTCGGTTGAGCATTTCGACTTTGACGCTCGGACGTACCAATTCCTGAGAAACCGCAGCCTAAAGCAAAGCATCCAAACAGACGATGACACAAACAAACAATACACCCCACCAACCATCACATTCCTCTGGGGGAGTTGTTGTCGGCGGCGAAGTCCCCCATCTCCGCGATGACCCCTCCTCCATTATCACCATTTCTATCTTCTTCTTCTTCTTCTTCTTCTTCTTCTTCTTCTTCTTCTTCTTCTTCTTCTTCTTCTTTTTCCTCCTCCTCTGATTAGTCAATTCTATACAATTTCCTTCTCATTTCTCATCACATTCATTCACATGATCAGTTCCATTTCAATTCCACGCACAAATTAAACAATCTACACTACTACTACATCTATCTATATAGACCCTACACTGTGCGTAATTAAAATGGAAGGAGAAAGACATGGGGCCTGTCTGCGACTGCGAGTGCCTCCTCCCAGAATTTCTTCCCTTCTCCTTTTTCTCTTCTTCCTGCTTAACCTTACAACTCCAACCACAGTTAGAGGTCAGTATGCCGTGGCCAAATACTCACCCGTAGACAATTACCTAATTGACTGCGGTTCACCCAGATCTACGGTTCTAGAAGACGGTCGGAGCTTCCGATCAGATCCACAGTCGGCCTCTCACCTGGATACAGATGAGGACGTGCAGGCCTCCGTCGACTCCATCTCCAAAAGTCTTTCTTCTCCTTCTTTTGCTCTCTCATCACTGCCGTTATATCTTAATGCGAGGGTGTTTCCTGACGAAGCCACATACAGCTTTTTCATCTCCCGCCCCGGATGGCACTGGGTCCGTCTTCACTTCTACCCGCTTCCACACCCACAATACAATCTCTCGAATGCCGTGTTCTCTGTTAGCACCGACGACCTCGTCCTCTTGCACGACTTCTCGATGCCGGAGGATACTCCGACGGTAATGAAGGAATATATCATCAACATCAACACCGATAGGTTCTCTCTAAAATTCGAACCCAAGTCCAGTTCTGTCGCATTCATCAACGCCCTCGAGATTGTCTCCACTCCTGAAACACTAATCTCCGATTCAGCCTCCGCCGTCTCTCCGCCAGGGGACTTCACAGGATTGTCCAGTTATGCGCTTCAGGTAGCTTACCGATTGAATGTTGGGGGGCCGATTGTGACGCCCAAGAATGATACACTAGCAAGGATATGGCAACCTGATACTCCATTCTTGAAGCTTCCCGAAGCATCTAGGAAAGTATCGGTTTCTCCGAGTATTATCAAGTACTCAGATACCGGGGAGAGCCCTTTCATCGCCCCTAATTTTGTGTACGCAACAGCGGTTGAGATGGCCGAGTCTCTGGTTTCCGACCAAAAATTTAACATCACCTGGGAGATGACCGTGGATCCAGGCTTTTCCTACCTCATCCGATTGCACTTCTGTGATATCGTAAGCAAGAGCCTCGACAATCTCTACTTCAATGTCTACATTAATGGGCTGATGGGTGTCTCAGGTCTCGACCTCTCCACCCTCACCTCTGGCCTCGCCGTTGCTTATTACAGAGATTTCGTGATTAATGCGACAGATGCAATCGTGAACAACGGCACAATCCGGGTGCAGGTAGGGACAGCAACCAACATTGGCTCAGGTCCGCCAAATGCCATTCTCAATGGCCTGGAGGTGATGAAGCTGAGCAACTCCGACGGGAGCTTGGATGGTATGTTCGGTGCCCGGGGGTCTTACTTAGGGCCAAATACAGGAGGCACCGCAATGAAGATAATTGCCGGAATCGGTCTGGTCATGGGGGTGACGGCGATGTTGATGCTTGGGTCTGTTTGCATGCGTTGGCAGAAGAGGCCACAAGATTGGGAGAAGCGCAACAGCTTCTCATCATGGCTCCTCCCCATCCATGTCAGCCAATCTAGTTTCATGACCAGCAAGAGCGCGTCACGCGGCATGTTTGGCTCCCACAAGAGCAAGAGCGGCTACTCGGGCTTCTTCTCGTCTGCACTAGGGCTTGGGCAATACTTCACCTTTGCTGAATTGCAGGAGGCAACCAAGAACTTCGACGACAACGCAGTGATAGGTGTTGGTGGGTTTGGAAAGGTGTACCTGGGCAAACAGGAAGATGGGACTCAGCTTGCCATCAAGCGTGGGAACCCTAGTTCTGAGCAAGGCATCAACGAGTTCCAAACTGAGATACAGATGCTGTCCAAGCTTCGACATCGCCACCTGGTGTCACTCATTGGGTACTGCGACGAACAATCGGAGATGATCCTGGTGTACGAGTACATGGCCAACGGACCACTCCGTGACCACATCTATGGCTCCAACCGCCCACCTCTGTCGTGGAAACAACGGCTCGAGATCTGCATTGGTGCGGCCAGGGGGCTGCATTATCTTCACACCGGCGCGGCGCAAGGCATAATCCACCGTGACGTCAAGACCACCAACATTCTGCTGGATGAGAACTTCGTTGCCAAAATGGCAGACTTCGGACTCTCTAAAACTGCACCCACGATGGAGCAGACTCATGTCAGCACAGCAGTGAAGGGTAGCTTTGGGTATCTGGACCCAGAGTACTTCAGGAGGCAGCAACTGACGGACAAGTCCGACGTTTACTCATTTGGGGTTGTCCTTTTTGAGGTGTTGTGCGCAAGGCCTGCCATCGACCCAGCTTTGCCCAGGGAGCAAGTTAACTTGGCGGAATGGGCAATGCAGTGGCACCGTAAGGGCTTGATTGAGAAGATAATCGATCCTCATCTCGCCGGGAAAATAAACCCCGGATCCCTAAAAAAGTACGTGGAAGCAGCAGAGAAGTGTTTGGCTGAACATGGCGTCGACAGGCCATCCATGGGAGACGTGCTCTGGAACCTGGAGTATGCACTACAACTGCAGGAGGCATCTTCACAGACTGATCCTCCGGAAGAAGAAAATACTTCGGCCAAGACCGTTGCTTTAGAACGACCAGCTGCACCCAAGGAAATCAAGGTGCCGCCTCCTACTCTTGATATTGATGATGTTTCTGACGAGATTGGGTCTCCCTTGTTTTCGCAGATTACAGGATTTCAAGGGAGGTAGACTCTGGATGCATGCTTTGATAAGAAGAAGAGTTATGATCTTCAACAATATCAAGATGCATGCATGCATGCATGACCTGTACTTTAGTTTTCAGTCACCTCTTATTCGTAATTCACATTTCACAAATCACGGATGGCAGATACCTCCACTCCACAGAGAACAACTACTTGTCCTGTACGTTGCTCTCCTAAACAATTAATGTAGCCATGCATTGATCATTCTAACCGTTTGATTGGAATGTCTATAATGTGCATTATTGGTGCTTGGTGGGTGTAGATTATTAATTGCATTCTGTAGTTGGAGTTTTTTTTTTTTTTTTTTCTTTTCTCTACTCCCTATTTTTTGTAGTTCTCTTATTCTTATCCCTTGACCATGTGAACAAATTCTCAATATTGATAGGCTGCTTGAATCTTTCCATCCGCCCTCTCTTATTTCCTTCCAAAATGGGAGAAAAGGATCAAAGATTAAAACTTTCTTTAGTTAATTTTTTTTGCTTGACAAAATAGGGAAAAAATAAAGAAATAAAGTAAGGAATTCCCTAAAAGAAAATAAACAATATATGAGGTTTACTAAAATAGTAAAAACAGTAATCTTCAATTCAAAAAAAATAAGGAAAAATTTCCGATTAATACCCTGTACTTTGGGCCTATTGCCACTTTGGTCCCTGAACTTTAAAATAAGCATACCTAAACTTTCAAAATGTGACAATCCAGTACTGTTGTTAACTAGTTTTTAATCGGCCGTTAAGTGGCATTTGAAAAAAGACATAAATGCGCTTCGAGTGTTATCTAATTTTCTTTATCAACCATCCAAAACATTGACAAAAAATTAACAGCCTCAAATCCTTGTCACTTCTATTTAAGAAAGTTGGGGGTCACTAGAATGCCCATTCAAACGTGACCCCAACTTTCTTGAATGGAAGATGCAAGGATTTAAAGCTGTTATTTATTTATTTATTTTTTTTGTCAATGTCTGGATGGTTGGTAAAGAAAATTAGATGACACTAAAAGGGCATTTGTGTCTTTTTCAAATGCCACTTAATGGTTGGTTAACAATTAGTTAACAGCAAGTACTGGATTGTCACGTTTTGAAAGTTTGGGTACTAAATTGTCACATTTTAAAGTTCGGGGACCAAAGTGGCACTAGGCCCAAAGTATAGGTACTAATCGGGAATTTTCCAAAAAAACAATACTCAAATTAGTGTTTTCAAGCCGTCGTTGATATGGACGGTCAAACCACATTACTCGGCCACGATTCTAGGTTCAGTTTGGCTAAAACCCAGGATTTGTTCATTGACTTAGTCAAAAACTGTCCGACCCGGGCAGTTGAACCATTAACCCATTTGACCCAATCACCGGGTCACAGGTTCCCCCTTGAACTTTCATTTGCAACAAAGACCCCCTAAACTTTTACATACCCCCCATTAGAGCTCTAATAGTTAATTTCGAAAAAAGATTCTGGTTCAACTATTTAAAATTTTTAAATCCACAAATTACCCTTTTCTTATTTATTTGAACCATTTATGATTTGATTTGTTTTCTAAATATATAAAATATTGAAATCCTCTAGGTTTCTTTAATAGATCCTTACAAATTTTTGGCCAGACTCAATATTCAAATGAAATGGTAGAGGTTTCTTTCTAATAGATAAAATTTCAAGTTTTTGTTTGGTTTTACTTGATTTATTAGAGAAAGGAGTGGATAATAATGTTTATATTTTAAGGAAAAAGAGACATTCATGTTAATGAAATGAAACAAGAATTTAGAGAATGCTGTTTTTCTATGTTAGTGAAATAAGAAAAGTTCATGTGGGTTTTTTTGACACATTCCATAATTTCACTTTAAGGCAAGGGTTATTTCTCCCAAAGTAAAAGTCCAGGTGGTCTTTGTCGCAAAAGAAAGTTCAGGGGGGTTAATTGTCAATGGCCATAGTATAGGGGTCTTTTTAATTTACCCTGTAATATTATACATATAGGTGTCATTGTAAAAAAAAATATAAGGGTAAATTACAAAGACCCCCTTGTACTATGGGGTTTGTGACAAAGACCCCCTGTACTTTGTTTTGCCACAAAGACCCCCCTGTACTATAACCGTGAGACAAAGACCCCCTTTCGTTAGCTTTCCGTTGAAATCCACCATTCTAATATTTTTTAATCTCCATACTACCCTTGTAATAACTGAAAAATACTGTTCATCATCCCCAACCCCAACCTCAGAAGAGCAGCGGTGGTAATCCCACCTCATATTTCATCACATTTATCTCTCTCCCTCTCTCCGATTCCTTTACATCCATCGTCAGCGACTTCACAAGCTCATATTGGGCTTCGACACAGAATGGAAACCGAGTTTTAATCGGCGTATCCCTAATCCAGTCGCCATTCTATAACTGTGCGTGGGATTCCAAACGACGGAGGAAACCATACATTCTACGTATCCAAGCAACAATGGCTCCAATACCTAAACCCATAGATGATAAATCCCAAAATCAAAAAGAACAAAAGCTATCAAGATTTGCATTCTAATCCCCAGGCAGCAAAAACAAGAAACCACTAATAGTTTCGTCATTTCCTCCGCATGAGCTCTATTTGCCGTATAATGCAGCTTATGAAGTGGCGGGGGAATCCGACGCTTGTCGACGCCATTGATTGGTTTACCTGTAGTAGTTTTCTTCACGGAAACCTGTTGTCTCCGCTTCGGCTTCTGTGCCTAGAAGCCTTTGTGGTTGTAGGCACCATTGAAGATTTCTTCTCCTTTGAGCTCGAAGAGAAGGAGAGAGATGTTGATGAAGACTTCTTCTCTTTAGCAGGAGAGAAGGAAATCGAAGACCAAAACTTCTCTTATTGTTCCCTCTCCCTTCACTTTTACTTCGGTAGAGGAAGTCCTTCAAAAAGACCCATCTCTTCGAGCTCCTTCCGGAAGAGGACGACTTGGACGAAGAAGTAGAAACAGATGGTGTGGTTCCTGTCGATGGAGTTTTGGCCTGTTTATTCTCAAAATCCTCCAAGTCTAGAGGATGAAGCTTGCCAGCATGTCGTAGCCCTCCTGTGCACAGATCCACTACGTAACCTCAGATATCTCCCTCTCGTCAATGACTCCTCGTGTTTCTCGAACTCTGTTTCTCTCGACTACTTACCTTCCTCATCCTCATCTTCGACTTCAAGATCCAGCAGTGGAGCTAAGATCTGAGGCCTCTGCAAGTGAGAAGACAGCTTCATCGGCCGGTAGGCTGCTAATAGGTTCGGCTCACTACTCACAGCTTCAGCGGTGGTCGAGTGTAGACTTGCTTCGCTCTCATCGCCGTCGCCGTCATCTTCGGCTCCCCCCGTGTCTGCTTCACTATGCTCGTCGTCTTCGTTGCTGTTGGCGGCAGGAGTGCAGTGTGTTTGGAGCTGTGATATGCTTGTGTGTGGCCGCTTATATCGCTTATATCGTTGCCAAAGAAAGGGAGTGTTGTCGTATACCTTCTGTAGGGGCACCTAGACTGAAAAGGACTGCTACTGGTAATTGCAGATGTTTCTTTCCTCCCCTTTCTTCTTCCAGCTTAACCTTCCCCTTTCCTCACTCTCTCTGGTATCTCTACTACAAAATTTGGATTTAGCCGAGTGTGGGAAAAGAGAGAGAGCGAAAGCGACTATGTATTATATTATAAAATACAAAAGTGGCCTTGTGTGCTTGTTGGTCGATTATTTAGGCAATGAGATGTGGCAGCTATGGTCGAGTGGAACAGAAAACTGAGCAAAGCAGGAAGAAGAAAGGGGAAGGGGAAGAAGAGAGATCGAGGGAGAGAGAGAGAATGAGAGGAGAGAAAGAAATGTAAAGGGATATGGGGTAAAAGGGATTACCGTTGCTGTTCATGTGTCTCGAGGTTGGGGAAGATGAACAGTATTTTTCTACCCATTGTCAAAATAGTTATTACAAGGGTAGTATGGGGATTAAAAAATATTATAACGATGGATTTTAACGAAAAAACTGACAAAAGGAGGTATTTGTCTCAGTCATAATACAAGGGGTCTTTGTCGCAAAACAAAATACAGAGTGGTCTTTATCACAGACCCCATAGTACAAGGGCGTCTTTGTAATTTACCCACAAAATAAACCTAAAAATAAAAAAATATATATTATCATGCAAATTTCAAGAGATCATAACCTCGCATCTGATGGGTTGTTCGAGCATCGCGACCAGGGACCCAAGGGAGCCATGCCCCCCACCCCTTGTTAATAGTTTCTCCATATTTTATTTATTCCCCCCTCTATTTCTGGCTTCACCCCTGAGTTTTGGGGTGCCTTTTCATGTGTTCTAGATTGTGGAAATGAGAAAAAAAAAAAAGAAAAAAAGAAAAAAAGATCAACCAAGCCTATCTACAAAAGAAAAAGGTGAAGACGTGCTAAAACTCCCAAAAGGTGAAGATATGCTAAAACTCTCAAAGACTACGGGCCAGTTTGGTGTGTCTTTTCGCGTGATCTTTTGGCTGTTTACAGGTCAGGAAGACAGATTTTCGGTCTATTCTCATTTGACTCGCAGAAGATTTAGCCACCAAAAGACGGTGTGCCAAAAAGACGCGAGAAGCCCATTTCGGGCTGATTTTGGGAAGCTTCAAATGAAACTTAAAACATCTTCCACATTTTAATCTCGCACGGAAAGATGCAGGCAGATGCACGGAAAGACGTGCACCTACCAACCTATCTTCAGGCTGCCCAGATCTTATGTCAAAAGCTCAATGCGTCTTTTGACTGTTAGAGCTACAAGAATATCTTTTCAAAAAGACGTGTCAAATGAGCCCTACAACATCACACTTGATAGTCAAATTAGGATGATTTTCATTATTTTGGGTAAAGAAAATTATCATTTTTGGCCTCAAATATCAATTTTTAGCTTTCTTATATACAACATAGGTTTGGGATTCCAAGTCCTATCGTAATTTTCAATACATCTTTCAAGATATTCAAAGCGAGAATTTTTGTGTTTGATGCAGTTTGCTTTGTTAGAAGTATATTGATAGATAATTTAGGCGGTGTTTGGCATTGATGTCGTTGTTCCAGAAAATGGTGACACATCAGCACCACGTTGGAAAAATCGGTGCTCCAAAAAATGGTAATATGTTTGGAATCGTTTCTCCATAAAAAATGGTGCTTCAAACCACGCATTGGAAATCGAGAAGGCATGGTATGGGGAAATGTTGAATTTGATATTTTCTCAATTTGGAGCTCGTTGCTGCCAATGAGGACATGATGTGGCAGTGACATGAACTTCCTATAATAAGTACCAGTGCTGAAAACAGATATAGAGCACCAGTACCAAACAGAAGGTATTGTTGTTGCCCCAGGAAACGTCCTACCTATCAGCAACGTTTCCAAACCAAAAGAAAAAAATGACATCGTTTTCTCATAAAATGGTGGTGCTTCTAACCCACACAGAAAACGGTGCTGTATATGCAGCATCGATGCCAAACATATACTTAATTATTGATAGGCAGACTCATGTACTTCAGCTAACCAGTCATGGGTTTGTAGGGGAGAATGGCTTTTTCATTTCATGTATTCAAACCTTTATTAAACTTTAATAGATTATTCAGTTTTTTTCTTAACAAAAAAAATCAATTTACTATAACTTCAAAGTCACTCTCCACCACCACCTAAGCATTTTTCATCAACAGGCCAAACAAGATTCCTTCTTTAATTAATGGTAATAGCTTCCACCAGAGGAGAACATTGTAACCCTCGAGGACTTGCTAAAACAATGAGCACCCTAAACATTCTTGGCAACCCCAAAAGCACTTTGTAAAAAAAAAATGTTATTACTGCAAAGTCAACACAGGTCCCCAAATTGGGTCTACAATACTCCTGAACAAACTTGGTCTTTCGCATACTTGATTGAAAAAGCTTCATTGGCATAAGCACTAAATGAGCTTATCCTCAGACCTTGAGGAAGATGAATCCTAATTAGAACAACCTCCTTTGCACTTGGATCAAATATAGCTCTAACAATTTTCCGAGGTTCCATCTAGACCTTTCATTCATGGCATCAATAACCTTGGCACCAGAAGGTACCAAACCAGTTTGACATGTCCATCTGTAGTATTAGCAAACCCTCTCCTCCTCATGCTTCAAAAGATGATTGATTTATTCATGAGTCATGAGAAAAATGACTAAGTTGTCTTGGGTTCTCCTCTTAGGGACAAATGCATTATGATAATTTGCTACAATCCTACTCATAATGGGCCTTGATCTATTTGCTATTAGAGACTAATGGGTCAAAGATCTACTATAGTTTCCAATATTTTTGGATTCGGCACTAAATTAGTTGTATTAACACTGGGCCTAAGAGACTTGCTTCAAAAAGTTTCTTGTGCAAAACAAATTAGCTCATTTCCAATCACCTCCCAAGAGTTCTCATTTCAAAAACCACTTTTTTCATTTCTTTACCACTAGGGATTTTATGAAAAAATTAGCAGTCTTCCTCTAAAACAAGCTTATCCGTGAACAACATATCAATTTGGTTTCTTAATTACAAGGTGAATAAAAGAAAAAAGCAATCTAAGTAAGATTATAGCTAGAGTGCTCCTAATAACCTATGGACTACTCAACGAATTCCTATTGTCGTCCTTGATCCAATTAAGACCAATCGTTTTTCTTCTTCTATTTTGAATTGAAATATGAAAGAATTTAGTACATCTATCTCCATCCTCTAGCTATTTGTCTCTTTGCTTTGATAGCCAAACCCCGTACTTCCAAACTAAGAATTCATCCTTTAATGACTCCTCTAATGGTGTACCAAGGCTTAATTGCTCAAGGTTGTGTTGATTCTCCTCTCTCAAGGTTGTGTTGCAATTGATCCATCATTTTGGGGGCACTTAAGGTACAAACAAATGCATTGTCCAACATTATTTTTGGAGAAGAATGAAGAAGCAAATACAACAACAGTATGTGGCTCATTCTTCTACGTGTCAAAGATACAAGGCCTATACCTAAGCAAACTGCCAATCTCCTCCAACCCCTTTCTATCCCTAATAAGCAGGTGTGGGATGATATAACCATGGACTTCACCACATCCGCTGAACAACCCAATTACCCAATTACCCAATTAGCAAAAGTTTCCATGCAATAGGTTACTTATTGTCTACATTCACCTTCTTCCATTATTACAAATAGAATAAAAAAATGGATAAATGGTTGTTGAAGTGGAGGAACAACTTCTCTTGAGGGATGAGATACTAAAGTCTCTAAAGGATCACCTGAACCAGGCCCAATAAAAGATGAAGATACAATATGACCAAAAGCACCGTTAAGTCTCATATCAAGTAGAGGACATAGTCTGTCTACCTCAATTTACAACCCTATAGAATATAGATAAGTTTACCAAGCGCAGTTGGCCCAAGTTGGCTTTCAGTTTTTTGGCCCATTTCGTGTTATAGAATGGATTGGCCTAATAGCTTATCATATGGCCATACCACTATCTTCTCGACTCCACCCAGTCTTCCATATATCTCTACTAAAGCACAATTTGGGAACCAATACCCCTATCTCCACTACTCTCCACGACTTTAACGTAGATGGGTAATTACAACCAGAACCATTGAAAATACATAATTATCACTGGGCCTGTTTCCGCAAGGAAGTTGGCTTAGGCTATGCTTGGTTTGAAGGAAAAGGTAGGGAAATGAAGGGAAAGACAGGGAAACCTATACAAGGTTTTTAAAGGTTTCCCTACCTTTCCCTAAATTTTCCTTTAAATCAAACATAGCCTTAAGAAATCTTGGTTGCTTGGAACCTTGGTTCGAGGCAATGATCGTCATTGGTGGTCTTAGGACGCTTTTAGGCTCACCTCCCCGGCCCAGGCCACCACACTCGGTCATTTTTCATTGCTCAGCTTTTATTCTCTTCCTTATTTCCGCTCATGCTACCTCACTTAGTCTTGATGTATACCTACTATGTTGAGTTTTGTGCATCTAATCCCTTTGACAGATTCCCAAAAAAAACAAAAAAAAAAATCAACTAGCTTCAATTCATTAGTCGCATAGATAGCCTTTTTTTGTTTCAATGTTCTAATTATTTGAAATTTACCTTTTTTTAATTTTCACTATTTGTAATTTTGGACATCAACGGCTCAACCTTGTTTGACCCTTAAGCCAGGTATTATTCTCCTAAAACCTCTTTAGTATTGGGAGTTTTTCTCTGCTAATTTATGCCGTTCAGTTTTCTCTTCACAGTGAAACTTGGCCTCGAGTTCAAAATGTCTTGGACTCTTGGTACATAATCCAATTTTGGGCTTTGGGGGCTTAAATTTAGAATTTATTTCGGTTTTTTTTTTTTTCATTTCACGTTTCAAGTGCATTGCGCTGGGTTCCCAGTAGAAGCAAGTTAAATCGCGTAACAGAATTACACCCAATCAGACTTTAAATAAAAGTAAACCAAAATGTCCACGATGCAAGGGTTTCAAACCCATGAAGGCATGAACAGAAGCTTGCAGTCCTAGCCTTCATCTTCATCTGCAACAGCAAAAGGAAATTAAAAACTCAGCTTTGTCATGCTCATGTCCTACACGGAAAGAAACTACATAACTTATTTATCACTCCAATTTATGAAACTAATATTGTACTAAATTTTGTTCACACAAGGTGAACAAATATAATTGTAATCGTAAAAGACAATAGAATTTCACGGCTGATAACCCATACACAAGTAGCATTTTATCCAGATATTTCTACCAGGGTGCTAACTGGTTCAGGTGGCAAGGTCTCTGGCCTCTGGCTGGTTGTAACAAAGAGCCTTGAAATTGAATCCCACCTTAACCAGGGTTAAGGTGTTACCGGTTTGGCCGTTTTGGGATGGACTATTATTCCCTTTTGTGTAGCCCCATGGTACCAAAAAAAACAAGAAAAATTCTCTAGATATTTCTACAATTTCACGAGCTGCAATCTGTCATTGAGTCCAGTTTTCTGAAGTCCCTCATGCATAGGATGCCTCTTTTGCATTTATGCACTAAGAAGGGGGGGTGTACCACACAAATGACTCAAAATTGAGGGAAATTGAGAATTTGAGAGTGCTGATCTATAAGTCAGGAAAAAAACAAAAAAAATGCCGATACGTCTGATGGACATTAAATAGTACAGATAACATGTACATTTACCTTGCGGACAAGTAACAAGAAATGATTTAAGTACCAAAAAACTAACAATGAATATGACATTAAACTTTACAGGCCACAGGATTCATGTAACCAACCCCATATAGTTGGGATAAAAGCTTGGATGATGATGATGATGATGACAACTGTTGAAGATTAATCAGTTTTGTGTTGTTTTACGAGTAGATGTTTTATGTTAGTTGTTAGATAGGAAGTGGGGACCACTGAAGTTATGTGAGTCCAAAATTTAATATTTCTTTTGAATCTTATATACTCCTCTTATATTTTTATTATAAATAGTAAGTGAAGGGGGTGTCCAGATCATTGCTCTCTTTTCTTCTCAAGATCTCTTCTTCTCTCTTCCTTCTCTCTTCCTTCTCTCTTCAAGAAACTACTTTTTATTTTCATATTTTTGAATTCAGTAGATTTCTACTTGGTATCAGAGCCTCGGCTAGGGCTCTTGAAGCATTCTCATGCAGCCCTAAATCGGCCGACTGCATGAAGTAACAAAGGGCTGATCGATCTGCTATAGATTGCTCAGTTCTTGAATTTTTTTTGTGGGATCTAATCATCAGGAAGGTTATTTACTGTTCGGCACCAAAATCCGGAAGAACTAGAGTATGGGGAAGAGTCCTAGAAAAGTTGGACTCTTTGCTTTTAATTTGATCTTTGGTGCCCAGGTATTGTTAATTTTCTTTTGTTTTTCTGAAGAGGGCGGTTAAGTTTCTGGAGTTTTTTGAGCTTCCTGGAGTGGTCAATTCATCCTTCTCTCTATTGGGAGGCACTAGGTGGAGAGAGACTTCTCTCCGGATAGGGTTTTCTTCTTCGAACTGCTTTTAGAAGCTCTCCAACCTATTTTTTCTTAGTGTTGAACTATTTGAAGTAAAATGGAGAGTTGGAGTACCGAGGTGAAATCCATCGTTACCATGAGACTGGGTGTTGGAGGTAGTAGTGATATTTTTTTGTCTGGAATCATTACTATAGTAAAACTTGATGGTACAAATTATTTAGAGTGGGGCACAATCAGCCAAGATGGCTATTGGTGACCGTGGAAAATTAGGATACATCATTGGGAAGGAGAAGAAACCTGATATAGATTCTTCTCAATGGGTGCAGGAGAATTACATGGTAATGTCCTGACTGTGTAATTCTATGTTACCTCATATTGGCAAAAATTTCCTATGGGCTAATACTGCAAAGGAGATTTGGGATAGAGTGACTGAAACCTACTCTCAGAAGCAAAATGTAGTCAGAGCCCATCAGTTAAGGAATTAGGTGATTAGTATAAAACAGGGAGAAAAACCCCTTGCCATGTATTTCTCCATGCTAAAAACCCTTTGGTAGGAAATAAATCACTTAGAAATTGTGGTATGGGAAAGTGTAAATGATGCAGCAATCTATCAAAAACTGGTAGAGAAAAATAGGGTTTTTGAGTTCTTGGCAGGGCTAAACCCTGAATTCAACATTGCTAGGCAGCATATCCTTTCTAGGGAGAGTATGACACTCTCTCAAGCCTATGCCTTTGTTTCTAGAGAGGAGAGCAGGAGGAATATCTTGCTGAGACAGCTTAGAATTGACTAGTCGGCTATGGTTAGTACAACCAAACCTAAGCCGAATGGATACAGGGGGTGCAGTGAGACTAAGAGGGAAGATAAGAAAGACTTGGTGTGTGATTATTGTAAGAAGCCTAAGCATACCAGGGATACTTGTTGGAAGCTTCATCCAAATCTTATGCCTGCCTGGATCAAGAACAATAAGGGAAATGCAAATGTGGCCACTACAGGAGACTCTTCGGCCCCTCTTTTCCAAACTGATTAGGAATCCATTGCAGTAACAGTAGTGAGAATAGAATTGGAGAGGTTTGGACAGCATACGAGTGAGAAATATACAACTAGTTCTAGCCTTTCAGATGGACAACAAAGTGCAGGAGCCAACTACACCACTTCTTTTGCACATACAGGTAGTTCATGTGCAACTACAAATCTTGCATCCACTTCAGGTAAGGAGGGACCTCCCTGGATTATAGACTCAGGAGCATTTGAGCACATGACTAATGTTCCTACCATTTTCAGTTCTTATCAATTGTGCTCTAGTAGAGACAGAGTTTCTATAGTAGATGGTTCACATATTCCCATTGCTGGGAAGGGGATAGTTGACCAATGGTATTACTTTATCTTCTGTCTTACATGTCCCTAGACTTCATACCAACCTACTTTCTATTAGTTCTTTGACAAAAAATTTGAATTGTTCAGTGACCTTTCTTCTTGGTAATTGTGTTTTACAGGATCTAGAGTCAAAGAAGATGATTGAGAGTGGTCGTGATGTGAATGAAGTCTACCTTCCGGATGAGATTCCAAGACATTAGAGCCATCACGTTAGCAACAACAGTAGTAGTGGATCAGAGTTAGTAATCAGATTATGCTCTGGCATAATCGCTTGGGACATCTTTCTTTTAGTTCATTAATATTTCTTTTTCAAAAGTTATCTAAGTCTGCTCAGTTATCTACCTTGGAGTGTGAGAATTGTTAGTTGGGAAAACATTGTAGACATTCTTTTAAGCCAAGTAATAAAAGTTCTGCTTTTAATGTTGTTCACACTGATGTATGGGGACCATATCATATTCCCTCCATGGGTGGCTGGCGTTGTTCTCTCTTATTTGTGGATGATTATACACGATATTCTTGGATATATTCTTGTTTGTGGATGATAAGATCATGAGATGAGATTCCTAACTTAGTACGACAGTTCCACCAGATGGTTCTCACACAATTTGGAATGATAAATAAGGCCTTCAGATCAGATAATGCTAGAGAATATTTTAAGAAAGACCTTACCACATTTTTTGGAGCATGGTATAATTCATTAGAACAGTTGTGCATATGCACCACAATAGAATGGAGTAGCAAAGAGAAAAAATACACATTGTGAAAGTGGCAAGAAGTCTTATGGTGTGTGCTTCAGTTCCTATTCATTTTTGGGGAGATGCAGTTCTTATAGTCGTGCATTTGATTAACCGTGTTCCTTCACAGACTTTGGGGTTTAAGGTTCCATTCAGCCTTCTGTTTCCAGATGGGCAGATGTTTCACATACCTCTGAGGGTTTTTTGTTGTATTTCCTTTGTTCAATTCTTGGCCCCCATCGCAAGAAATTGGATCCTAAGGCCAAGAAATGTATTTTCCTTGGGTATGCTCAGAACCAAAAGAAGTATTGTTGTTATGACCCTGTGTCAAAGAGCAAATTTGTCACTATGGATGTTACTTTTTTTGAATCTACCTTCTTGAGTGGTTCTCCTCAGAGGGAGAGTTTTGGGGAGGAGAACTTACAATTTGTTCCTCTTCATGTTTCCTTTGTGCCTCCATCAGTTCCATCAATTTCATTGCCTAAGCCACTATGGGCAGCCTCACAGAAATATCAGCGCCGGCAGATGATGGTTGACTCCACACATCTTCAACCCACACCACTCTCCATCAATCCTTCTGAAGCTCCAGATTCAGCAGATACAGTTCCAGGTATTCCCCTTGAGCCTGAGCCTGTTATTTTTTCTAATGATTATGTTCATGTACCTAACACTATTATTGTAGCTGATCTCACTGATCTTGATCTTCCCATTGCACTTCGCAAAGGGAAGAGAAAGTGTATATCCCATTGCATTTCACACCATCTTTCGTACAATGCCTTATCACCCTCCTACCGAGCTTTCCTTTCTTCCTTGGATTCTGTGTATATACCCAAGAATGTTACTAAGGCTCTCTCCACACCTGAGTGGAAAACAGCCATGCAAGAAGAGATGGAAGCTTTGGTTAAATACCAAACTTGGGAAATAGTTGATCTTCCTCCAGACAAAGAGACAATCGGATGTAGATGGATATTGTATAAGGTCAATGGCAAGATAGGGAGGTACAAGGAAAGGTTGGTAACAAAAGGGTATACTCAGACCTATGGCATTAATTATCTGGAAACCTTTGCACCGGTAGCTAAGATGAGTTCAGTTCATATTCTTTTGTCTCTAGCAGCCACCTATTCATGGCCCCTGTTTCAGCTTGATGTTAAAAATGCATTCCCTAATGGTGATTTACATGAGGTATATATGGACATTCCAACAGATTTTTATGAAAATGTTGGTAAAGGAAAGGTGTACAAACACAGAAAATCATTATATGGCCTGAAACAATCACCTAGGGCTTGGTTTGACAGGTTCATAGGGGCTCCTATCCGTTTTGGGTACATACAAACCTAGTCTGATCACACCCTCTTTATGAAAAGGAGAGATGCTCGTGTCAGTTCTGATTGTGTATCTGGATGATATAGTGGTTACAAGAAATGATAAAGAGGAAATTGATGATCTCAAAAAATTTTTGCAAC